TTTTTTAATATTTAAATCAATTGTCAATAATTTGTTTTATTTTATTTATTAATTTAGATTCATTTTACATCTTAATTTAAGAAAAATGAATTTAAATAGAAAGATTTTCGGTTTTAAATGATAAATATAATTACATATTTTAAAATATAAATTGTTTTTAAAAATGAAAATATTTATTTAAAACTTGCAATTAATTATAATAAAAATATACAATTATTTTTTATTTTAAATGACAAATGGCCGCATTTTAATATAAATTTTTTCTTCATTTAAAACATTTCTTACGAACTTTGACCTAGTTTATATATTAATTAATCATGTTATACGTAGACACATACACCTACATTTTGTGCTTGTTTACCTCAATATAAAGTTTAAAGCGCTCAAAAAATTATATAAATTTTTTCACAGCCATTTTTAATTTAAAAAAAAGAAAGAAAAGGGTCGACTTTTGCCCTTTCCATCGCCATATACAACACGCGCTTATAATCAATTAATCGCGTGAAACACCGAAAATAACATTTGAACTTTAAGCTTTCGTTATATTATGTATGTAGCTTCTTAAACGCAAAAAAATAAATAGATTTTTTAAAGAAATTCCCCTTTAAAAACGAGATAATTTGACATATCCCTCCAGCGCTTGACACGTTATTAGCCGTAGAATCTGTCAAACCAGTCATATCTATAAACGTGACAGATTGTCGATTTTGTAATACATTTTAATTTATAGGAATTCATTTCTTCGTCCCGTCGAATTTAATACTTTAATCGTGACGTTAAAAAGTGACAGGTAATTTCTATTATTTTCAAATTTAAAAAAAAAAAGAAAAATTAATCGGAAATTACTATCGTTTTTTTTTTTTTAATAACGGATTTCTCAGGTGGCGCTTCGCTCCGTCACATGCCAGTTGTCAAGGAAACTGTGTTGTTTGGCAACAAGAGTTTTAAGGTTAACGTGTACTTTATAACTTTCTCCGCTTGTTCCTGTCGAAATGTTGGATTTTATTAATTAAAATGGATGCTAACGATTCGTATATCGTCAATAGCAGCGGTCTAAAGCTCTATACTAAGTATTGGGAGCCTAACGAAAAACCCAAGTAAGTTGCACACGTTGTTGTTTTGTTTATGAAATGGATTAATTTTTGGATGCAATGCAAAATTTGAATTGTGTTCTGCCTTTAGGAACGTGTTAATTGCAATTTAAAGCGACTGTCAAGCTCTAAATAATTTTTTGTGCCTTTCGTTCTTGCATTTTTTCTCCTCTGTACGCTCTCGAATGAAAACTATTGTTTGAACAACTTCCGTTGAGTAAATTGCGTGCAGACAAACCTTTTTTTTAAATTTATAATCACATTAAATTGCCATTTAAAACAATACCATTTGCACATTTTCCTTCAATTAAAAATACTGCTAATAAATCATTTCTAATGCATTTCATATATACAATTTGCTACAATTGAATTTATTAAAATGCATTAATTACAAACTAGTTTTGTAATTAAAATTGCTTCGGGGAAATTCTTTTCCTAGAATCTCTCTTGGCTCTCGGCTTTACTCCTCGAATCCCTCGGGCGGCTCGGCTTAAATTTAATTACGGGTTACTCGGCCCTGCGTTTTCCTTTGACCGTTTACTTAATTGCGTGTGTTTTATCTGCAATTTCTATTTCAGAGCGCTCGTTTTTATATCTCATGGGTACGCAGAACATTGCCAGTACTACGAACCGTTGGCTCACGTGCTTAATACCATACAGTGTTTTGCATTTGCTCACGATCACGGTAAGGAATCATTTGTTTAATTGTTTTTTAAAAATATTAATTGGTTATACATGAATTTAATGGTATAATTATCATTCAAATCAAGAAAATGCAGTTTTCTTAAATATTCTGATGTTATCTTTTACGACCTGTAAACACGGTATCTTATCGGATATAATATAAACAGGAGATGTTTAAACTGCTCGTAACTTATCGTCATTTTGTTTACTGATTATACAAATCTGGAATGAGTATTATTTAAAAAGGATTTTTTAATCTCCCGTGAAAATATTGATAAAATTCTGTATTTGTTCCTCGTTATGTAGTCGCATTGTTCTTCTCTTTGAACTTTTCAGTCGGTCACGGACGGAGCGAGGGACCGAGAGTCACCGTAGACGCGGTGGACACTTACGTTAAGGACGTCTTCCAGCACACGGATATCCTACTTCAGAAATATCCCAATCTGCCGATATTTTACGTCGGCCACTCGATGGTAAGCGAAACGAAAGCCGGCGGGCCGTCTGCACTTTCTAAGAGTTTCTAAACTGGTGTTTATCGTTTCAGGGTGGAACAATTGGAATTAAAGCTGCCATGAAGAGACCTAACTATTTTAAAGGCATTGTGCTTATTGGACCAGCAACTTGTACAAAAACTAAAGCTGCTAGTCCATTTAAAGTAGTTCATTTTTTTTTTTAATAAAGAATATTAAAATAGCTTTTAAATAATTGATAATCCAGATAAACTAATTGGCATTTTTATAATTACTTGACCTAACTTATTTAATATTTAAATATTAGCATTTTTGTAAGTCACCTGTCAAATTATCTCACTTATCTGTAATACCTGTTTGCAGGTGAAGTTGGCTAGAATCTTGGGATGGATTTTGCCGAGTCTTCCGATCGTTTCGCTGGATTTCACCATTCTGACCCGAAACGACGATGCTATGCAAGTGAGAAAAAACGATCCGTTGATGTGGCACGGTTATGCAAATGCCGGTTGGTGTTCTGCTATGTTTAATGCCATACAGGTAATGTGTTATTTTAAGAGTTACGTGGCTTCGTGCACATGTGCAATAACTTTCTTTATATTGTTTTTCAGAGCATCGAAAATAACATATCGACGGTCGAATGGCCTTTTTTGCTGATGCACGGAGACGATGACAAAATCTGTGATATTGGTGGTTCCAAAGTATTTTATGAAATGGCTCCATCCCTTGACAAGACATTTAAGGTTAAGTTTCACTTTGTGTTATTTTTGATGTTTTTATCCATAGGTTTACCTTAGTTATACTCTACTTAAATTCCTAATGCCTGGGATAAAGTATATCATTAAATTTTTAGAGAAAATAGATTCAATCTCATAAAGCAATACTGATTTTTTAATTTTGTCTGTCTGTCTGTCTTTAGGACTAAGATCATTCTTATTATACCAATTGTAGATTTATCTGGGTCCAATGAGGGCCATTGATAAAACTAACAAACAACAACCAGGCATGAAGCAAATTCAAAAAAAAAAAAAAAAATGGCACAGAATTCTTCCACAAAATCAAATCATCCATGATAATTTCCAAGATTCCAACTTCAACTTGAAATCGGTCCTCCATAGCAGCACCCGAATAGCAGAAATAGAATTTTCATTTTTTCTGTCACTAAAAGTGATTAGCTGCACACTATTGCTTATCATATGCTATAATATTCCAAGGTGTTGTAACTCTGGAAGCCAATACTCGGTATACGTGTGAAGGATAACAGCTTCCAAGTATCGCGCTTCGAGCTTTCGGACGAGACACGCCGCAGGTACAGCAACATCAAGGAGTGCTACATGCGGCTGCACGAGAAGCTCATACACTGCAGAAGTCAGCTCCACTGGTCTTCAAGGAGTTTCTGAGCCTCTATCTCAAGTGCAAGACCTTCGTGCTGTCACTGTTCAACAAGATATTCAAGCCACATTTCATGGACACAGTGAGCAAGGTGTAGTACACATGCCAAAAGTTAGTGTCGTATTCAAAAAATGTTAAACTAGAGATGGAGAATCCTCTTCTATCCTCTTCTATCTCATTGTGGAAATCAATTAAAATTTATCACAAGAGAAACTTGGACACAAATGTGAAATCTGAACAATTACTGTTGCACAAGTACATTTAGTAATTAATTTAAAGAATCCAAACAAATTCGATAATTTAAGTAAACCTTTTTCACTTTTGAGAGAATAGAGCAGGAGTGGCTAACTTTGTCACAATATGAGCCACAATCTGCTTATCAGAAATATATGAGAGCCACAACATCTAATTATATTAATAGTTATCACTGTTCTAAAGTAAATATTATCGGTACTTTGTCATTGAACTGTAAACAAACATTTAATTCCTTCAATTTTATAAATGTACCATAAGCTTTTTGTTTTCCATTCAAGATTAAGTTGCAAGACACACTGCATGTATTACACTACATAATAGTCAGGAAACTTAAACAATTTTTATAACCTCAATACACACTACTTACACATATGTAATATTTTTAAGTATATAGGAGCCATAATAAGGGCCTAGAAGAGTTAGTTTGGCTACCATAGCTTTGTAACTAGTTTAACATTGACTATTATACTAACTACCANATCAAGGAGTGCTACATGCGGCTGCACGAGAAGCTCATACACTGCAGAAGTCAGCTCCACTGGTCTTCAAGGAGTTTCTGAGCCTCTATCTCAAGTGCGAGACCTTCGTGCTGTCGCTGTTCAACAAGATATTCAAGCCACATTTCATGGACACAGCACTAAAAATTTGAACTACCAATAATGGACACAGACTGAAAATTGTTTAAGTATATAGGAGCCATAATAAGGGCCTAGAAGAGTTAGTTTGACTACCATAGCTTTGTAACTAGTTTAACATCAACTATTATACTAACTACCAAAAAAATGCAAAAAATTGGAAAAAAATTACGTATTTATCTACGAGAAACAATTTTATACAAATTTTCAATAATTTAAAACTCTTGGCTTTAAATATTTTATGTACATAAAAATTATATAAAATAAAACTAAAAACTTCAACCTAACATATCCTCCACAGGAAAACAGTTGTTCGTCCTGTTTTATAGGGCGTGTTCAGTACTTCCGGAATCATCTGTCACCTATCACAATGTGGATATTTATATGTTTATTGAATACAAACATGATTGTTTCCCTGCAAATATATCTAGAGATTATGTTAAATTTTTTCTGCAGTTCAAAAGAATGTAATGAAAAATGTAGATTTTAGAGTTGTCACACTTTGTTTAGCATATATACTAGATTTTTCATTATGAGGTGCAAAAACATCACTGGATGACTTAATGACTCATCCAGTGATCACAGGATGAGGATCACATACTTAATAAACAGCAAACACAAGAAAAGTGTAACTATTTGAGGTAGTTGTTTATGTCACTTCCTCCATATTACTTTGAAAATTTATCTGTTCTATATACTGGGTATGGGATTTGTGTTATCCTTTTAACCAGGATGAATGTTTTTACATTCATCTTGGATAATCGAGTCTGAGTCTACTNGAATGTAATGAAAAATGTAGATTTTAGAGTTGTCACACTTTATTTAGCATATATACTAGATTTTTCATTGAGGTGCAAAAACATCACTGGATGACTTAATGATTCATACAGTGATCACAGGATGAGGGTCACATACTTAATAAACAGCAAACACAAGCAAAGTGTAACTATTTGAGGTGGTTGTTTATGTCACTCCCTCCATATTACTTTGAAAATTTATCTGTTCTATATACTGGGTATGGGATTTGTGTTATCCTTTTAACCAGGATGAATGTTTTCACATTCATCTTGGATAATCGAGTCTGAGTCTACTGTAAATAATTCTACCTACCGGTGAAGATTTTGGGGTCAATTTGGTTCAAAACCAGGCTGTATTGTTTAAATTTTAGGTGGATAAGCCACAAATATTCTGCATGTACCATACATACAAAAAAGACTTACTTTTGTTATCATTTTTGAGTAATGTGTCAAAATGTTAGCAGACCAGATTTGGCACCACTGTTTTATACATTTGCTATACATCTCCAATTCTCAACATAGAATGACCAGTCTAGATCGGTGGCATCCAAACTGCAAACCTCCCAGCTAAATCTGGTCCAAGACACATGTTAATCCAACTCCCAAACATATTCGGCACATCGCTTACAAAAAGTAGTTACAAAAGGCTGTTTATATATATGGAATATACAAATATTGGTGGCCCACCTACTTACAACTTAGGTGTAATTTGGCCTGATAATTGGACAGTTTGAGCACCACCAATCTATTTCATAACTATAGGTTTCTAAAAAACAATTGAAGGTTACATAGTAAATAGCAACTATGCGCTGTTGTGAGTAGGTCAATCCTTTCTGATCACTTATTCGGCACGAGTCAACTTTGATGGCTTTGTAAATTAGATTAATATCATGGATCCTGAAATCCCGATCAACGTCAGATAGGGATTTATCTTGCACCCCATCACGCATTAAAAATGAGGGAAAATGCTTATAAGGAGGGCTTTAAAATCTATGAGTGGGAAGGATGGTGGGTAAGTGATAGGAGTCCAATAAATAATTTGAACATGTCAAATTAACAATCAAACAATAACTAATTTTATAGATATAATTATAAAGAGTACAAATGAGCTAAATTAATGTCCCACAAAAAGATATAACAAGAATCCAGCTATTATTCTACATTAACTAAATACAGTATATCCCTAAAATGAAAGATTGAGAGAGAGTTTGCAATATCTATCATATTACCTCAGTATTAACTTGTCTTATAACAATTCTGTCCGGTGGGTGGAAGTTCCAATCCCAGGCAGTATGGCACACAATTCAAATAGAAGAGGATACTGGACGACGTGCATGGGGTTTGGTGCATATCCCTCTTTTATATCCCAACTCTCCTCCAATGGAGATTTGGATATTTAGTCATCTGACAATGATCTGTTTTACTAAACATGTAGTTATCAGATGAATAACTACTTTTGAAGGAAGTAAACCATTGAGAAAGGAAATTGAATTTCCTTGTTTTCTCTTAAAAGTTAGAAAAATGTACACTTTTGTGACAAAATATTATCTAGGTTTAGTATAAGTTTTGTAGAATAAATTAGATTTTCACACTGTTAATGATGAGAACATCTAGTCACTATGTTTCTATGTCATAATTGGAAGTTACATAGAATCATAACAGCTATATAAACTAACAATAATTTGTGTATATAGTTTAATTGTTGGATAAAAGACATGAGAGTTTATAGAGAGACAGTAACTACATAACACCTATGAGTATATGGGTTCTAATCAAATGTACAGTACATATTGTTTATTTGGAACGAGTGGAATAGCATTTAACAGCAGAACAAGCTCTCCGAGTTTTTGTTTTGATAAACTCATTGGATCAAACTACTTCCATTATTATAAATTTGAAATTTAGACAAAACAGTACAATATAATAAAATAACTTCCAAAATTTTCTAGATCTACCCGAAGGCGTATCACTGTCTGCTGGAAGAGCCGGAAGGTGTCAGAGAACAAGTGAAAAACGACATCATACATTGGCTTAATCAGCGAATCAACTAACCAGAAGTATAACTTTGTTTTGCTATTTTATATTTTGTACAGTTTCTTTTGTTTAAAAAGTAGTCATTGGTTAAAAACACTTGAGTTAAAATTTTATTAACAGAACATTTAACTCTACTTTGACAAAAACACGTGTCCCACGTATCCGCACGCCAATCGGTAGGTGGGTTCCAATTTTGACATCCGTGTCAAACAGTGCACGATTCGGATTTTATAGCTGAGCGGAAATTGTTCTCGCTCTTCTCTTGGGTTTCTCTAACACAATCCGTATCGATTAATATCATAACCAACCTAGATATATACTGTAGTATATATACACATATATAAATGTACTATGTACTTATACATTGTTATACAGATGGAATTTATAAAAAAAAATTCCCAAGATATTTTTTGCAATATATTAATATCATAAATGAGTATTTGTATCGATGGAGTATTTTGAACTGTTGTACTTATAAAGTCTAACGTGTAATTAATGAAGTGGAAGAGAATTTATTGTCGGAATTATGTCCACAACTTAACAAAAACCAAAGAGTATTTAGAATGTTCTTTAGATTTTATATAAAGTGTGTACACATATATATATATTATTCATTTAGCAATAATTTAAGATTGTTAAGGTATTTGTGTGCTAAGTCTGTATGACTACAGAATCCCCAGTTGGAACAATTTGCAAACAAAGCTGTAGACACTCTACAGTACTCATTACATCTGTTTGTTTGGATAAAGTTTAAGTCGGGAGTTTAAAAATGAAATTATATACAGGGAGGCCCAAAAGTCAGTTAACCCAGACATTTTAATAGAAGCTACAACTAGTTTAGAACACCTGCATGTTGTTTGCTTATAATTTAATTGCTTTTTAAGAATAATTGAATTATGAATTAAACTCAAGTAATTTTAATATGCAAGCTCTAGTAATATTCTACAAATTAAATGCTCAGTCCTTATCTAATTTTGATCTTTAACTTCTAAAGATTTATCCTCTTCAAAGCATTTCCCCTACAAAATATGTTTGTTTGTTGTCACTCCCTCTAGTCCGCCCTCAGCTAGTCCATCACTCCGGTTAATCCAACTGTGGTCGGAGTCGAGAAACTTGTCCCGACTCGTCAGTGACTCACCGTCCGTGGTGTTCTTCTGTGTTCGTTATAGTATATGTTTTACATTGTGTGTGTTTTCAACATGCCAGGAGTGAAACGTAAACACGTTACTCTTTCATTAAATGAAAAATTAGCAGTGCTACAAAGACTGGACAAAGGGAAGATTGTTTATTTTACCTTTTTCTGATGATCCGACCTTTTTTGCGTTCCAATCATACCCCCAGTCCCAAAGGTGACGGATTAGAGGGGTTCTACTGTATGTCAAATACTTGTGGAACCTATTTTTTATCATAAAGTGTACACACACTACACTATGCTTGTTAAGTAATCAGATAAGTTGATTCCAAGCATCCCGTTTAATAGAGTTGGTACTGCTGGATTTTGCATTCAAAAAAATTTTCAAAGGAAATGCTTACTGTNGTTTTACATTGTGTGTGTTTTCAACATGCCAGGAGTGAAACGTAAACACGTTACTCTTTCATTAAATGAAAAATTAGCAGTGCTACAAAGACTGGGCAAAGGGAAGATTGTTTATTTTACTTTTTTCTGATAATCCGACCTTTTCTGTGTTCCGACCATACCCCCAGTCCCAAAGGTGACGGATTAGAGGGGTTCTACTGTATGTCAAATACTTGTGGAACCTATTTTTTTTATCATAAAGTGTACACACACTATACTATGCTTGTTAAGTAATCAGATAAGTTGATTCCAAGCATCCCGTTTAATAGAGTTGGTACTGCTGGATTTTGCATTCAAAAAAATTTTCAAAGGAAATGCTTACTGTGCTTAAAGGACCATGACGATTACAAAATGGAATCTTTCAAAAAATGGATGCACGAAGGCATTTGACATATGGTGGGTAAGTGATAGGAGTCCAATAAATAATTTGAACATGTCAAATTAACAATCAAACAATAACTAATTTTATAGATATAATTATAAAGAGTACAAATGAGCTAAATTAATGTCCCACAAAAAGATATAACAAGAATCCAGCTATTATTCTACATTANATTCCAAGCATCCCGTTTAATAGAGTTGGTACTGCTGGACTTTGCATTCAAAAAAATTTTCAAAGGAAATGCTTACTGTGCTTAAAGGACCGTGACGATTACAAAATGGAATCTTTCAAAAAATGGATGCACGAAGGCATTTGACATCCAAGCAGTGACGGAAAAAGCATGCATTATTCTAAGAATATTATGAAAAAGACAAATCTTCATAAGCTAAATTAAGCAAGTTCTAGCAATATTCTATAAATTAATGATAAACCCTCGTATTTCCTGCAATGTAACTTCAACAATACATCCATTTTATTTCATCTTCATGAATTGCTCAAAGCTAATGTATAACTGTGACAACATGCAGCCAATTTATAAACTTTCAGAAATTTCAGTCCCTATAAATTCTCAGTATCGTAATTTCTGTAATAGTTAAATAGGTCAGAGTGGGTTTCGATACAAACTTAGCACACAATACTGATACGGAATAAAGCGTCAGATAGCTTTTGACAAAATCTATCAGATGACAGAATGTACTTAACAGGGACCAGGCAGTCTCGTTTGTTATATTTACCGTGGCGAGTGAAATTTCGCTCCCGTGGGCCGACGGACAAATTTTTCAAATCTCAGATGCTCCCGTCTCTTTGTTAAATTTGTTAATCCGTCACAAAATTTATAAAATATTAACGAGTTATCATTTCTTTAACACGGAGGGTTCCGAGAAGACGGGGGAGCCCACGCCCCCGACCCGGAAGGGTCAAAAATCCGAATTTAAATGATCGGGTGGAGAGGTGGTGACTGCGGCCGTCATCCTCGTCTTGCACGTAAACTTAAAAGACGGAAACGGAGAAAAAGTACTTTTAGATGCTCAATGTCAACGTTATCATTTTAAAAGAACAAGCAATAGTAGTAGTCTAAAAATGATATTTATAATTGTTAAAATATAGAAGAATGTTGACTCTCGTGCAAATTCGAAATATATTTATAAACAATCGTAAAGAGATAATTGTATTTATCTATTCAAACTATGCAAAATGTCTTCCAGTAAGATCCTATATGATGTTACCCTCAACAAAGATGCATTGTATATAGTACTTTTATATGTTGTGATATTATTAATAGATAAATGATTATTGTTACGAATTATTAGATGTATGAAAATTTGTCTATAATGTAAGATTTTTGTGGTTTAAATAAAATTATTATTGACATTTTTAAGTGGATATTTTACATAAGCACTTGTCTCTCTATCCTTGAAAGTTATTTGGATAACCTGCTCTTATTGACCAACAAAGTTTAAAATATTTTCTCATACATGAGGACAATTTGTCCGGTGCTATTTCATTTACTTAAGAGAATCGCATCATAGAGTTTCTCAAAATGTCCCTAGTTTTAAATGGTTCTGAAAAATCCACATGTTTGGATAAGTGAATGTGTCCAAGAATGTCAATCAAAACTCAAATGGATTGCCACTGCAGCCTGGCATACAAAAATCGCGGATGCCATTAACAGCATTAACACTGGTTAGGACGTGGGCCAAAATCAAGTACAGACTCAATGTCATGCCGCTTCAAGTTCGTATGTGGAAATGTACTGATTCAACAGTAAATAACTTTTTCAAACGCACTTTCTATTACTATTGTCTACAGGAGTATACTCGCATTACTCTTATCAAAATTAATCCATAAAACTAGGGACATTCCAGAGGAACACTGTATAATGATTCCTTGATAAATAATTTCTATTAAGATATTCACTATACATGAAATATTTTAATCAAAATTTTATTATAAATCATTTTTAACATAAGTTTTTGTATAAATTTACATAACATTGTGTTTGAGTAAGTAAATTAAAACCAATTGTAAAATAAAATGCTTTGGTAGGTTACTTTATTAATAACTTTCCGTAAAAATGCGCTCGGCAACCTAGAATTTGTCAAGAGGCACATTTTTAACAGGAGTTACTTCTATTCTTCGTTAACAATACTAGGATTTAAACAGTTCGATACATTTACACACGATACAAGTCATAACACAATCCAAACACTTTCAAATGTGTTAACGTCCAAAATTCCCACAAAATTTGAAAGGAAACTGCCAGTCTTATTTGTTGACATCTCATTCTAACTAAAAGAAAACTGGAAGCAGTATAGTAATTACCTCTTAACTAGTGAGGATGTACTATATATATAAAAAGTTTTAACTCTCGCGTGACGCCATTTCATTCTCGCTCATCCATCGACTGGTCGCTCCCAAAATCCCGAACACGTAAAGTCCGTAAGCGTATGTGTGGAATGATATTGCATAAAAACGAAGATTCCAGTGGAGCAAATCATTTTATTGCTTTTTGTTTTGGATTGCTCAAAACAGTCTTTACAAACTAAGGGGTTACAAATGGATAATGTACAAACAGCCACATTGTAATTTGAGCCCGGTATTGGCAGCGAATGGATTGATCGTGTAACAATCGTCGACTTAAAACACTATCCGTATTTCCGGCGGCAAACGTGAAGGCGCAACAGTCAATCATCTCCAGAACAACGGTTACACAAAGGTCGTAAATTTTATATATACTACAGCATGAATTTGGCATTGATTCAAACATTTTTATTGACTACAAGTAACACATCAAAGACATGCCTATTGCTACACCCACTTTTGAACATCCCAGAGCAGTCAATTTGAAATTCACGTTATTAAGTTGTTTTTAAATCTATCTTAATAATTTGAAAGTCCTTTAAATATATACAAATTTCAATTCATTCTATGACAGGATAACAACACATTATTCTGGAAGAAGAAAACCTAATCGAATAAACTAAATCTACGTTATTTTTTTCTGTACGTCAATTTATTTTTTTCTCATTCGGATTAATATTACACCGAACCAAAATATGTTTCAGGCATATATGGTAAAAGGAACTATACATAATAAACACAGTTTGCATATAAACACCAGGCACAAAGTTTTTGTTCTCATTTTACTGTAAAATAATTTTTGCTGCCATCGGAGCGGGTCGCGTCGGCAGTCTCCCCGCAATGCGGATGCGAAATGGCCGGCAAAAAACCCTTTCGAAAACGTCTATCGTTTCGATCGCCGTGAACTAGTTTAGTTTAATCTCGTCATAGGAAACAAAATTTTAGTAGGTAAGCAAATTTTTTTCAAAGGAGGGAAGGAAAACGGAATTGCATAACTAAAGACGAGAGGTAGTTATTCATAACAAAGTTTGCCGTCTTGCAGACAAACATTTAACAAGGAAATAAACGCGAACACAAAGCAAAGAAAGTAAATGAAGAAAATGACAAATTCAACAACACGACATTTGTAAAAGTTATGGCTATGTATCACATGACATATGGTGAATTATGTGAAAAAATGATATGAGAAATATATATATACATATATAATATATATATGCACCTTACGGAAACTCGACATATTATGTGAAATGTATATATATATTTTTTTTTTATAATACAGTAACTTTATTAAAAATGCTTAGATAAAACTTTGCAAAATTTAATACAAGTCCTTCTTTTTGTTTTAATCAAATCTGAAACTCGTGAATACAGATTTTAAAGCCGTATGCGACTGACTAGATTAAAAATGTGTGTAAATTAAGCCATGTAAATCGATCCTCGTTCGAAATCCGAAGCAACATAAATGTTAATACTGAAATCCATACCGATTAAAAGTGCAACCGTCTCATTTCGATTCTTGGCCAGTCAACAGCAAGTAGACGTAATTTAACAAGAAAAGCAAAAATACCAATTTTTTTTTTTTCTTTTTTTCGTTAACCAATTTTTGATTCTGCATTCACCAAATCTGGCAACAGTTACTGGTTTACATGCTCTTTTTTTTTTTTAGAAAATTAACAGATCAGATAATCTACGAGTGCAAAATACAGTCAGGAATGTAAGGCTAACCATTCTTTACTCTTGTTCCTGGTGTCTTCAATACTTTAGTACATTCACCTATATATATATATATCCAGTATTTACTGTATATGTATAAATATAGATATATATATATACATATATATAATGTTCACATATATACATAAACATTATATATCACTGTACTCCAGGATGAATTTTTTTTGCCACAATTCTTTGCAAATTTGCTGCCTGTTTGATTTTTTTTTTTTTTTACTTTTTTTAAATCCATAATATCCAAGCTCTGTGTGGCCTACAATATGATGATATGGCTAGTTCTCGCATCTTGATTTTTACCAACCATATTTCAAGAAGAACATTTAATCTATAAGAACGTCCAAATCACTCCAATCCGACTCGTCTTCCGTGTCCGAGAACAAGTCCAGCATCTCTTCAATGTCGACCTGAAGAAGTAATTGATCGTCGCGAACTTCAAAGAAATCCCAGAGAAATATTCGCTGAAACAAATAATTAATCTCGGCGTTACATAACGAACAGCACTCAATGCAAAAGAGATGAGAGTTGCTCTATTTTTCTTTAATACATACCTCCATTGTTTCCAGATCTCCATCCTGATTTCTCCTTCGTCTGGGCCTGGGAGGTGGAAGTTGTGCTTTTGTTCCGTCGGGATATGCGTGAAGATAGAAACACGCACCAGCAAAAGGACACTCCCCACGGCCTTGTTTAAAGTATTTACATGGCTTGGAGCTAAATAAAAAGTATTTTTGATTACATCCATACAATAATAATATCATTTAATTACGTAATTATGACAAACCTCAGTGCTTTTTTGTAATCTTCAATTAACTTTTCTTTTTCTTCCTTTGTTTCAACCCAATATCTACTCGGAGTGACGAAATCGGAGAGGACACGACATTCTGGACAAGCTCTAATAAAATATTTACAAACAATTAAATGAACTAAACTCAGTTATAAAAGTATGATTGTAATATTGGTCTAACATCACAATCATACAAACAAATATAGTATAAATCATTACATTTATATGCTTAGATCTTATTCCTTTCATGATAATGCTAAGCACTGTAATTTGAGGCTGATACCAGTGGTAAACGGACTGACCTCCTAATAATTATGAAGTTAAAACACTGTCCTTATTGGATTTTACAGAACTCGTCAACAACCCACTACGTATGTTAAACAATTTGATTTTAGCAGAGTTACTTTAACAGTAGGATGACAATCTTCAACTAAAAGTTGTATTTAAAGTATATTAACTAGAGAGATATCAATAATTTTTTGCATTTTAATGTTTAATTAATAAATAATTTATTTATTATTATAAATATCTGCACTTAAATGTACTGTGGATGATGATTTATTTTTTTAAAACATTATTTTAAACATAACCCATTTTTAAGGCAGAAAACAAAAATTTATTCATGAATATAGGATAAAGATTAATAACATTAACAAGTAATTAATCATAAATGTTTGCACTGAAAAAAAGAATTAATTACCTAGTTCATTGAAATCAAGTTTTAAAAAGTTTTAATTCATTAATGTAATTAATTTTCATTATGAATGCACAAGGAGTTTGCAGGGATACAGATTATGATTAAATGAGGTTTGGAAAAATTGAAACAGTCTCAGGGAAATTTATAGTAAAATAATAATAATAAAGCAATAGACACAAAAACATTACAATGGAGTAGTCTTTGCTAAAGCTACAGGTATTAAATGGTAAAATTTGCCAAAATGCAGGGCGATCCCATATTTTGAAAGTGCAACTGGAACTTTCAATATCTAAATGCCATATTATAAACAAGAAAAAGTAAATTAAGCCTAAACAGATGTCAAGAGTGAGAGATGTATATCACAGCGAGGCATTGCTGGCCATAACAGCAAGTACAGTACTCATTTCAGTAAGTTATCAACCCCAAAGTGGATTTTTGACGGTAGATGTTGACAGGAGTGACATTTACTTTGTTTCTGATCAGTTCAGTCACCCATTACATTTCTGTCTACTTACATGGTTACGTGCATGCAATAGGGACAGGTTGGTGTCAGTTACTAAACCACAGTTTTGATTTTTACAAAAAATCTAAACTAAAACAACTTTAAAAAGAATGAAAAGAAAATCCAATTTTATTTCAAAATGCTTTTTGTTGCTATTTAATTAATGAGTGGAATATAATGTTAGCCTGAATTAAAACAAAAACATTCACTTGTTCCCAATGTGGAAAATAAACAAATTACTCAATTTATTACTGCATTTAAAAACTTTTTCTGAACTGTCTCGATTAAGAAGCTGTATAGACATTTTATCATTATTTTATAAATGATTATCCTTTACTTTTCATACTTTTTTGTATATAAACAGTAATAAATTAGTGATGCAACGAATAGTATATTCAGCCAGGAGCATGGTTGAATAGCAGACTATTTGGCCAAACTATTCGGTTTGATTAATGCACATACAAAAATTGGCACTCAAACTGCATTATGGCAAGGATCACGCATCCTGCTCTCTATTGGCCCACTGTCACTATGCTTTGCCAATCACGTTAACTCTTCAAAGTTGTAGCGGACAGACACGAGCGTCATGGCAGTAAGTAATGATATAAAATGTGGATAACAATAAAATGACTTACATGTGTAAATAACGGAAAAAGAACAGAGAAGGACCACAGAGAAGTAAAAATGTGAAAATAAATATAAAATTGAGTTGATAACATAAACAAGTCGAGGCAGCTTATTGGCGTGAAATTCATGGTTGTCAATGCCAAATAATTGTTCTCATAGATTTCGGAAAGCTAAATGCTTGTAATGAAAGTCACTTAGTGTGCACGGAGAAAAGCCCGGGGCCGTTCAGGCTACCAAGCTGTCTGGAACTTCAGTTATGATAAATAATTTTGTACAATGAAACAAAAAATTTAATTTCATTTAATTGTTTATAATAAGGGATGATTTCATAAAAACGCTTTACAGATCATTAATTCTTTTATTTTCACATTTTATGACCTAAGTTTCGATCTAATGTGCCCACGCAGTAAAAATTTTCATACAAATTTTTTACCCATTTCACCCCTTTAAGGATGAATTTCAAAAAATACTTTACAAAAAATATACCCTCAAATTTTTAAGTTTCTAGCACCAATTTTGGCTCTGCGCTAATTATCCTATCAGAACTTGTTCTTTTATATACGAGTATATAGATAACTAAACTACATAATAAGTATGTAGTTTTCATTTAATTTGTTACCTTTTTTTAATCTCTTAAAAAAATAACTTAGTTATATTACTTTTCCTTTGATCTTTTACATAAATAAGCAAAAAATTGTGCTTTCTCAAACTTGAAATGTATGTTCAGCATTAATACAAGTTACCAAAATTATTAATTTACTGTGTTTTTGTTATTTCTTACTCCTTTTTCGGGTATTCGGTATTCGGCCAAATAGGGAAACATAGGCCAAATACCGAATAGTAACCAAATATTCATTGCATCATTATAATAAACTAAAAAATTTTTACCTCTTTCAAAAATTCATGCATTTCTTAATTTCAGAAAAAACTGCAAGACAACTGTCATGATTAAAAAAATTTTGCATATTTGAATGTCAAAAAGCCAACTAATGAGTACCCTGCACAAAAATAGGTCATCTTGGCATGATGTAACAGCTGTCACATTCAATCTCAAATTTACTTCCATTAATCAATGTATTATATCAAGTTTATAATTGTGATGATCAAGTTTATAACCAGTGATGATATGTACTTAAATTAAATCATTCCTTTAATTAACTTTTTATGTTAATTTATCAGTTTAGTGTTGTGCAGCAAATTATACTGTAAGGCCTATTTAATTAATTATATTTGTATGATTAATAATAATAAACGTTGAAAATGATAAATAATAAAAGTTTTGAATGATAAGTCCGTTTGTTCCAATGATTTGAAAATACTTTAAATGTTTTGTGAGATTAATACTTTAGGAGGGACTCACAGGTGGTGACAGCCACTCTCCTAGAGGAGTAAACCTTGATTAAAAATCCCAATCCATAGGTTGGAGGTTGAGACATGGAGACAGCTCCCCCATTCTCGGAAAAATCTTAGATGCTAAAAAGCCCAACAGAAATAAGCCGGCTGGATACTGAGGACGACAACAAAGACTACGAAAAAGAACATTGATTATAGGAACATGGAATGTGCAAAGTATTAATAATAAAAAGGGACTAACTATCTCTGAATTAAACAGAATACAACAGGATATTATTGTATTAACAGAAACCAAAAAGAAGGGACAGGGAGTGGTTATAGAGGATAAATATTTACATTTTTACAGTGGAGTACAAAAGTTATTAAATCAAAAAGAGGAGTTTCTGTTCTGATATTGACGAAATATAAGAAAAATGTTACTTGGGAAGCAATAAATGAAAATACAATTAAAATTAATTTAATTCTATTTGGTAGAAATGTTACAATTTTGAGAATGTGATCCGCCAGGGAGGTCGGAGACAGTCGCACCTCCCTTTCCAGCCACTTGTCAAGACGGTTATGTTACGATTTCTGGTCCCGAGGATCGGGACTTCTGCTCTATGTCGGTCGAGTGGAGGGAAAGTAATCGGGGTCGACGATAAGGCATAGGCAGTATATGAGTAAAGGAGGATACTATTTAACAAATAAAACAAGTTTATTCTAAATAGACAAGCTCGACAAAAATTACAAAACACTGATCCCGACGCTAAACGTTTAAGGGCTCGAGAGAGAGTTTACATGGGTTTGCATGCCTTTGTAGGTTTCCATGACAATTTAAGTCCATTAAGAGTACATAGATATCCAATAAGTGGTGTTTTTAGGGTAATCCAACTGTGGCAACGGACTTTTTTCAATGTTGGCGGTTTGGAATTTGCAGCAGGTTCGGAGATTCAACTCGACGGTATCCAATGTCGTCGGTCCGGCTTTCGTTAATTTAATTTAAGAGACTCCCCTGAGAGGAAGGAAGCATCTTTTATAGCTTTTTGCTGGGAAAATTGGTCACGTGATCGGTTGTTATAGGAGATAAAGGTTATAGGGGTTCCCGGAACCCAAAACAAATGACGAAATTTGGATGCTAACTATAAACTTTTGTGCAAGTCGAGCTGCAGGCTGTATGGGAACAATAGAATGTTGACAGTTATGAAAGGAGGGTTTCAAATGTTCTCAGCTAAGATCATTTTTTCAATCTGTTATATAACATAAGTAAAATAATTAAATTTTTTAGATTAATAAAATTCCAGATCTCACAGGAATATATGCTTGACAGTGAAAATAAATTAGATAAAGATGAATTTTTTGAGAAATTAAATACTAAAATAAATAATATTGGCAACAATAGAGAAATTATAATGGCAGGGGATTTTAATGGGCAAATTGGTAAAAAGCATAAAAACCAAATAGTTGGACCTTTCGGAGAGGATACAATAACTGATAATGGTGAAAGATTAATTGAACTGTGATGCAGAATTCATTAAAAATAACAAATGGGTATTTCCAACATAAAGATATACATAAATATACTCAACATCAAGACACATTGAATTCAAAATCAATATTGGACTATATCATTGTGAAACAGAATACTGCACTATATCAGAATTTTTAGAGGGATTGATTATGGAAATGATCATTATGTGATTAATAGTAAAATAAATTTTGCATACTTTAAAGTTGACAATAATGTATCAATAATGAGTCAGACGGGAGAGAATTACAAATTCCAAGATATAATCTACTCTCATTACAAAATGAAAGTACTCAACTATTGTACCAGATATGACTAGATGATAAATTAGAGAAAACCTACTTTGATACAGTACAAGAACAATACAATCATATAGTGCAGAGTACACATCAAGAAGCTAAAGAAGCATTAGGAGAAGTTAAATCAGGAACATGTAAGACAAAAATGTATTTGAATGAAGAAATAGCAAAATTGGCAAAAAATAAGAAAAACTTATATTTAAAATGGCTAAATACAAAAAATATAGAAGATAAAATAGAGTATAAGAAAGAAACTTCAGGTGGTTATTAGGAGAAAAGTATCACAAGAAAAGAATAACAATTGGGAGAAAGTTTGTAATACCATACGAACTTATGTAAGTGGAAGACGAAATACTGAAGCATGGAGAATTTTGAAAAATTTAAGAAATGATAATAAGAGAACTAATACTATTCAGTACATATCATTAAATAAATGGAAGGACTATTTCTAATAACCTTTTAACAGAAAACAGAAATGAATATATGATTTATAATACAGAGAATGAGGGCATACGAGATACGAAAGATGACTATATTCAGATAGATATGAAACTTTTTGAAAGTATAATTAAATCTTTAAAAAATAATAAAGCTAGTGGCATTGGTGAAATACCAGCAAAGCTAATTATGTATGGATCTGATAAGTTATTTAGAATTTGCAAAAACTTAATGGAATGATGTATAAATGAAGATATCCAACAAGACTGGAAAGTTGGATATCTGTTGCCAATATATAAAAAAGGCAAAAACGATAAGTGTAATAATTACAGAGGTATTACTGTTACATGTACATTCAGCAGGATATATGGAAAATTATTAAAATATTACTTAAAAGAAGAATACAAAGATATGCAAAATGAGGAACAAGCAAGTTTTAGAAGTGAAAGATCCACACTTGAATATATTTTCTGTGTTATACAAATAATCAAGAAACAAGTTGCTAGAAATCAAACTCCACATTTATTATTTATTGACTTAGAAAAGGCATATGATAGTACACCAATTAAAAAATTATAGCAAGTATTGGATAACACAACAATAAATAGGAAAATAAAAAATAATATTAAAAAATTATGACATAACTCTATTGTTAAAATTAAAATAGCAACAAGATTATCTGANTAAATGTTTAGAAAACAACTGAATTATTATTAAATAAAAATACAATAAATTTAGTTTTATTATAGTATGTTTTGCTATAAACAAAAGTAATATTCTTAATTTTCTGCTGAAATAAACTGAAAATGCTAGTTCCACACTTCAATGGTTAATGCAAGTCTTGCAGAAAGACTTATTTACCTAACAAGAGTTTAAGCATATATGAAACATTATTCACACTTTTTACAGAATTATCAAGAAAATTATTTTGGGGATTGCATTTGACTTTTGTCTACTTTCCATTTCTTTTTATGTGAATTGTTACTCCATAACAATGCATGTCTTTTGTTATTTCCCATCTGATAGGGATAATGTAGGCAACCATGCCTTTCCTTCTAAGTGTTTGTTTATATGAAGAAACTGCAAAAACTCCATGTTCAAAATATTCAAATACCAGAAAGGCCATTCTGGTATCAATCCCATTTTTCCCACATAATAAATTAGAATTAGATGAAACATAGTAAGTATATCAAGGAAAGGAAGAGACAAATGTAAAATGTGATATGTAAAGGATACATTGATAACAGAGACGTCTATGAATATTACTGTACTGTACCTACAGTTCTGGAAAACGTTTGGCTTTTCAAACTTTCTATTAAAATTAACTGATCTGTAAATGTTGTCATTTAGATATTAAAATAACCATAAACCAAATATTAAATAAAAATTTATTTTTATATTTAAGAAATTCAACAAATACAACAAATTATTTGTAAAATTTGTATTTGCTTGCAATTTGCCTGGAAAAAACTTTGAGACCATGATCAAGAAAGAACAGTAAATACAAAACATAGTGGAAAAAAAGACAATATTTAATACTTAGTTTGTTTACCATTAAACCTGAATAACATCAATCAATGAATTGGTTATAGAGTTAGTAAGAGTTGTTAGCCTTTCAGGATCAACTTCATCCCAAGCAGTCACAATTGCTTTTTTTAAGATCAAACACATGATTAAATTTTTTTCCATTTGCATAGATCACTCTTACTTAATCATTCCAAAGGTTTTCTATTGAGTTTAAATCCTAGTTATGCAGTAACTGTGACAAAACATTAAAATTATTTATTGTCAGACACAATCATATCACTGTTGGGGTAGCATTTTCTTGTTAGAAAATAGAATTTTCATTCATTGCTTCATCACTTAATAATAGAAGATAATTTCTCATCAAATCTTGACAGTATAATGCCTTTGAACAAGATGAAATAAAAGCAATAGATGAATTTAACTGATGAGTGAAACCGTCCACACTGCACATTATCATGGATCCTCCACCTTGTATACAATGTGTTAGAGATGAGGTTGGTGACATATATCATGCCAAAAGTATTGCAAACCATCAGGGCCATCTAGGTTAAATTTCTTCTCATCACTAAAAGCTCCATGGCCAATATAACACGTTGCAAACTTGCCTTTCCATATGGGAGATTGTCCCTTTTCGCTGTGACTGCATTTTAATGTTTGCATGACTTAAAGACTTTTGCAGAATATATCTTGTCAGCAGAAAATTTTTTTGGCCTATCATAACATTTAGTTTTGTCATAATTGTCCGAGTCCTTTAAGTAATTGTGAATTATTGTCTCTGATCTTCCTAGTAGGCCTGCAATAACACATTCAGATTTCCACAGTCTTTGAATGACATATTTTGCCTGTTTTTTTTATCTGTTAATGTTTTACTAGATCCCATTTTCACTGAAAGTTGAAAGCACATGGACGTGTGCAAATTAGGTTACAATGTGTATAATATTTTAGAATATTGTAAAATATGAATTTTTGATCCTGGTCTCAAACTTTTTCCAGACAAATTGCAAGCAATAATTTGTTATATTTGAATTTCTTATAGATGAAAATAAATTTTTACTTCATATTTGATTTATAGTTATTTTAATACCTAAACAACAATATATTTACATGAGTTCAGTTAATTTTGATGGGAAATTTGAAAACCCAGGTGGTCTCAAACTTTTTTCCAGAACTGTAGTTATATACTGCTTTGGAGATCTGATTTCAACCAGACTTGCAAAATTTATCATTAATATTATGGGTCAATCTTCATCTGGATAAAACCACGAAATTCTAGTAGCCTATCACAGGTTCAAGCCTCATCAATAACTGGAAAAGTGGCATTTTCTAATGTTCTTTTATGTGTCTAACATCTAAATAGGAACTAGATTTCCATAAAAAGTCTTGCTGGGAGGAGCCCCCTTTGGCAGATTTCCCATGTATCACATTGCCATATCCCCCTATAATCACAATACAATCAAAAATATTTTTACTTGTATTAATTCCAGATCCTGAGGAATGGTCAGTTTTATCAGTATTCTGAAGGGCCGGTGTCGACCAAGCTGTCTGATGAGAATTCCATGATGAAGTTTCTGAACTAGGAGAAGCCATCCTGGATGTATTTGTAATGATGCCGCTATTTGCGGTTCTAACTGTAGGTGACTGCAATACTCTGTTGTTGTTACCTCTCGGGGGTCTTATATGATCATACCTGCAATATTAAACAATATATGTTTAATGCATTCAATTATAAAAACATTATTTAAATAATTTTAATATTTCCTCATCAAAATTATTTTAAAATAAACTAATTACATTTATAACAACAATATAAAGCTAAACTACATGTAAAATTTTACAATCATTGGAGATCTATCCAGAGTTCTAAGATCCCCCAGTTCTTGGTAGACTTCACCTTCTCATTGTAAATCATCATTATTTTCATTACATTATTATATTACAATGAGTGTCATCACTTATTGTAATAAAATAAATTTGATATTAAACATCACTACGATAAAACAATACTGTAACTAATAACATTACGAATATTAAATTACAATTTCAATAAACATTAAAGAAAACTAGTTTACTACAATATGCTATTAGAGAAGACAATCCTGTCCATATAAAAAGTTATAAAGTTTGGTTCAAGTGTTTTTTTTTTTGTCTTTTGCGTGTGTACCTATGGAGTGATTAATTGATAAATGTGTTGTTATGTTAGTGTTGTTGCTCCTTTATTCCTGATATCAAACAATGTTATCAGTGTACAGTAATTCTAATTCTATACAATATCTATTATTTGGCAAGACAGTTGTTTATTAATAAAGTTGATAGGTAAAATATACACAAAGAATGGTTCTAGTATAATTGCTTTATATCTTACAGGGCTGTGGAGTCGCGTAAAAATCTACCGACTCCAACTCTGACTTTTCCTTACCATCCGACTCCGACTAAAACACCAAAACTCCGACTCCGCAGCCCTGATATCTTACATATATATAATTGTGTGTGTGTGTGTGCGAGGTTCTCAACTCTTGTTCCACAGAATGCAAGTGTTTCACAAACTGCCTGGAGCATTCCACCAAAAAAAAATTTCAAGGTTTTTATTGAAAATTTACTCCAACATACAACAACATATTACTTTACTTGTAGACAATTCTACATTTACTATTTTATTCAATAAATTTGAAAAAATTACAAAATTTCCTATGGACAAATCCTACAAGTGTCCTTCTTCCTTTTGTTTCTTCATACACCAACAGAAAATAACAAATCTTGAGGAAGAGTCTACCTCCCTGCCTTGGCATGCAAAATGTTACAAATTATCCTCTAGTGGCAACAAAAAACACTTATAAAATTTATACATTTAAAACAAAATTTAATGCTCTGTGAAACAAAAAGAATATGAATGGTGTTCCATGTCTCTAAGAAAAGTTAGTAAGTACTAATATATGTCATAAATAAACCTAGTTGTTAAAGATCAATGCCCAGAAACACTACAAACTGAGTCAATCATCCATTTCAGTCAAGTCATAAGGGAAAACTTGTCAAATAAGATGCATATTTGTGTGGTTAACCAAATACTAGTCATTCAGCCTTGTTTCACATCAATTCTAATTGATTGTATTTCATGAAAAGTACATCATTTTATCTATTAGTAGCCCACAATATTGACATTGTATTATTATTTTTTTGCCATGATATTCAACAACTGAATAAAATGTTTCTGTTAATATAGTAAAACCTGTGTAAACCAGAATCAAACTTTATAAAATTTATTTGAAATTTAATCCAAATCAATCCACAGTGATACTAACTAAAGATGCAAGTATTCAAATGCAAAGATTGAGGAATATTCCATTTTACTAAGTTTTCATCATTCTTGAGAACTTGCACTAGATATTTGAATACAAGTTTGTGCAATGGCAAACTTGTATTCAAATATTGTCTCAAATGAGCCAATTTGAGACCAAAATCCCAGTATTTTACTCTGACATCAGAAATACTAATTGTATTACAATGATACAGAGACCAAATTATTCCATAATCTGACTTCTTGGAAAATGTTAATACACTAGTTAATCACTACTTCATTAATCATCTGTAATTACTAATAATCTTAACCAACTTGTTCTCAAATAATTGGAACTAGTTAGTTACTAATTACTCCGTACAAAGCAAATTGGCAGTAAATGTTATACCTTACATTCCTCATTTTCAACAAATTACATTCATTGTGTGTTCTCAAGAACTTAAATTCTTAGAAATGCATTCAAATCTTGAAAGACTTTGATCCTTAAAAGTACTGAATTCCGCCCAGATTAATTCCAACAAAGACTAACTCAGTAGAGTCCTGGTAACTCAACATTCAGTAAAACTCATTGTGTCGTCCAAAAAAAAAAATACACGTAACCTAATTTTTACCTCTGTAACTTAACACCAGGATCAAATAAATTATCATTCCTCACTGATAACAGTATCAATTCCACATGTTAAGAAAGAATATAATCTTTTTTCCAAAGTACCACTGCAAAATGTCATAAGGCCAAAGTAACTAACTTGAAAAGTAACCACTGAATAGCCAATATTTTTAAATTAAAATTTAACTACAAATAGAAATAGTCTCTATTGGTAAGCAGTTAATACATATACAAATTTTCACATATATCTTTACAAAAACTTTTCTATTCGGACTATCATCATCACTATAAAACTTGTTGTTTTTGCTAACTCATACAATAGACAATAACATAGAAAGTTAAAATCAAAGCCTGCTTTATGTTTAGCATACTATTTGCAAATCTTAGCCTGCATTATGTTGAGTTTGAAGGACTCTACTGTACTGTATTAGCAAAGGCCTTGTATCTGTATATCTTCGTACATAAGAACTTTCATTTCTCTGAAAAAGTTTGAAATCATTTTGGTCTGCTTTGTGATCAAAAAGCAACCCACACTTGCTGCCAGCAGCACAAATACAAAATATATCTCTGTGGTACTCATATTACATCTGTAAATTTGTAATATGTGAAAATTGATTTCTCATAAATAATTAAAGGGATAAGTTGAATGAGGTAATTATATATGCAAAATGAAAACTGCAAAGTAGCATGCTGTACAGCTTTGTTCTTGTTTACTTTAGTGACAAGGCTAAGTTTCAACGTTCGGGGAAGGTGAATCAGCATAACATCAAGATGTGGAAGACAAGAATTCCATACAAAGCTTTAGAAGTTGTTTTGGATTTGTTGAAAACATACTTTCAGTATGTTTTCTGCAGTGTCTCTGTTACACAAGTGTGATGCCAGTTTTCTTTGCAAAACAGACAATGGAATGAATTGCCCCGATATGTTGGTACAGTGGTTAATAAACTGAGCTCAAGGCAATTCTGAAGACTTCATTCACCAAAATGTGAGACTGCACTACATTGCTGCTGAGAAGTCAAAACTTATCAACACCAAACTCTTCCAGTGGTGGATGGAAAGAACAGCAGGACAAGTTCTGGTGCAGATGTGATGGCTACCACACTCACCAGACTCAACATCTTTTATCTTTGGATCTACAACAAAGAATTTTGGATATGATCTTTCTTTTCCAGTAAATCTGGACAAGCTGTGACAGTATCATTCTGGCCTCATTTACCCATTCAAGACATTCCATTAGATATGGGCAAAATTAGAATGCTGGGTGTATCATGTGTTGGGAACCCACAGTACACATATTCAGCACTTTTAAAGTATGTAAACTTAAGAAAGATTTTTCCATAAATTATCATAAATTGTTGTATCTTATCATATGGTGTAATAAAATTTTGTAATGCTAACATTCTTTCTAACTAATCTTTGCCAATTATTCTTGTCATCAAATTCACAGTAGACAAGAATAAATGGCAAAAATTAAAACAAATCAATAAAGGATAACCATGAATTATTCATAGTAATGGACTGCACAGTTGATATTTCAATGGTTTAAATTTTCATTTTTTTTTTTCCTTTATAAATGCTATTATTAAGAACATTTGATGTAAATAAATTAGTAATACATTAATATGTTAACTGTCTTTGTAGTTGACCACATCCAAGTTTTCAAACTGCTAAAATAATTTTTAACAATTTTCATTCATCACAAGTTTACTACAATTTTTTCCATTTATCCATGTAAGTTTCAAGTATTTGCCATCAGAGGTGTGTCTATGTTTGTATTGTTTCAAAAAATCATTTCATTTATGTTCTCAACAATTATCTATGACTGTTTATTAAAATTTAATGGTATTTTTATTTTTGTAATATGATGTTCTTGTACATACATGCACACAAAAATGTGTTTCAATTATTATTTATACAATGTAGAAGACCTGAAAGTGACGTGAAACAATAGTAACCATTTTAAGAATTACCAACAACACAAAAAGCAGTTATATCAGCCCAAAAATATGGGTAATGTCAGAGATGACAAAGAGACAAGAAATCTATTTTTTTATTAAATAATTAACATGTTTGAAATGAGACAAGATTAATTTATTACATATTACATAAAGTCCATATGGCATTAAAAGATTAAAGGGGGAAAAATCAATTATTTCTTTATCCGATAAACATAAACTATCTGCAATTTGTACTACTGTATTTTAGAATGAATTAACTTATTAATTAAATGAAAGTAAGACTTCTTTGTTATTTAATTTGAATCAAAGGCAAAAAATTGCTAATAGACCAACAACTTAAACTAAGAGGTAATACAGGTATAAAGAGTATATACTATCAGTCTTTATTGTATATTTAACTTACTTTATTTATCCACATTTTTGTGAAATCATTTATGCAAAAACATTCACTAATATTGCTCATAACTATTGACTGTAGATGATTATTATATTAAGCAAAGTCATCTGGTTGTTGATAAGTGAAATTTAACATTTAATTCTCGTAAACCTTAAAAGTCCGGTATTGAAATTTTGTTCTTCGCATTCACAAGTTTGATTCCTACTGGTTTTACAAACCTGAAGAAGACCGAAGTACAGTCAAAAACGTTTGTTTTCTATTAAAGGTGTCAATACTGGACTTTTAAGGTTTACAAGAGTTAATTGTTTGCATTCCAGTATTTATGTGAGAGGTTATTTATTGAAATTTAACATCAGCAAAGTAAGGAAAATGTTTAGTAAGTGGAAACATCCATTGTGAATTATGTTGCCAAATTTGTTTCAAATAAACTGCA